TTTATGATATCGTCAAACATATATTTTATTCAAAAATAAAAACATCATCACTTTCTCAAAATCACATAAAGTCATATTATAACATCGACTGAGATAAAGAATAAAATGAAATATTAAAAACACGATGTATCTCGCTGCATTGCGCGAGTACTCTTCTAATATATATTATATATATAAAAGTTTTATTAATCCATTATTAACAACCTAAATATAAGTTATATATTAATTAAATCCCACATTACATAGCATGTCCTCCAATTATTGTGATGAGCAATATTGGTCCTTGTACTTAACTATAAATATTGATGCTTATAATTTTCAATTAACTTTCAATCCAAAAACTCTCTCCAAAAAAACATATGTATGCACCCAAAATTCATGTTGAAATTGGGAGATCAAGAACACTAATCAATCCATCATTATTGAAGGGCAATCAAGAGACTAAGGGGTCGTTTACCAAATGCTTATTCGGGTAAGCGCTTATCAGGTCATATTCTCTTACCGGATGAATATAACAATAACCAAAAATTTTACCATGTAAAAGCGAAGGCATGAAACGAGAGTCTTACTCGGTAAGTGATGACAATGACTCTTACCACGTTTGGAGCTTACCAGGTAAATTGTTATATACGATATCGTTTTAGTAGACTAAAATCACCCGATAAGTAAGAGATAGAGTTGAAATTTACGTTAAGCGCTTACTGGGTAAGTGTGTAGGTAAACGGGCCCTAATTGAAGGATAATCTTAATTACTTCATCTTCTTCTTTAAGTAAGCATCCTATGAAGTTCCCTTCAAGTATGTATTTTCTTCTCCATTTATCATCAACAATCATGTATGTTGATTTGTGTATCGATCCTTGGTTTTAGTTTGATTTGCCCTGTCAACAATAAATTCTTACATTTATAAAATCATTACTTCATTAGTAATTCCAAAACTTACAAAAGTTGTACCTAAAGCATAAATAAATACATATATAAAAGTTGGGTCAAAATATACAAAAATTGTACCAAAATATACAAAAACTTGCGCCAAAATATACCAAAAGTTATGTCAAAATATGCACCAAAATATACCAAAAGTTGCACCACAATACACCCAAGTAATGTTTAATCTATATTAAATTGAAGGACGTGGCATGAACTATTCTTCACTTACATCTCTAATCTATTTCTGGTTGAGATACAACCATTTGACTTTTCTGTAACTCTTCTTGAAGTCGAACAACAATCTCACCTCATGATGTCTTTAACGATGAATATAAAATGTAAGTAGTAATCGTTAAAAACAAAATGTTATTTAAATGTGAAAAAAATAGATATTGTCTTACCCCAATAATTGTTTCTCGTGTGATTGGATCACTAGAAACGCCTGCATCTGATGGTATCCTCACACCTTTTAGTCCCTCTTCCACCTCTAGAGCCTCGTGTTGTCAGTTTTGGAATGTTGAGTCTTGTCCTACATTTTGGCTTAACAGGTCTAGGTGGTGGGTCTTTTTTCTCATTCTTACAAGTGTTGGCATTGTACCCCGTTTCCAAACAATTGCTATATGTCTTGGCCTACCTTCTGATCTATTCCTCTCGATAGATGGTCTACCTAACATTCTCCTCCTTGGGTGGGTTTGGTATGATGAAAGGTGTTGGATTCCACATGTCGTTTTTATTCAATGGGTTATACAAGGTTGTATGTTACATTTTTAAGTAATAAAAATGAATTTAACAGGTTTTCAAAAGTCCAATAATTTATTTAACAGATTTTAGAAAGTCCAATAACTTATTCATTCAAAAAGATTGTCCAAGAGCTTAATCATTTCAAACAAGAAAGTCCATTTGTTTTTTTTGGACTTTTCCCAATTTTTTATTTAACTTTTCTTGTTTAATATGTTTTGTCGTACACACCAAAATAGAACGTTTGAAAATATGGTTCCTGTAACATGAATCAAAATAAAACACTTTCTATTTAAATTCCCTTTCATTCATTTGTTATTCATTCGATTTGGATTTAAGATTTAGGTCTATTTTGTTAAATTACTTTGAAGGTGTTTGAGATTGCTTATTTGAAATAACTTATGCTTTTCTACAAAAAATGCTTATCAATTTATTATAAGTTAGAATGATTTAATTTATTCAAAAAAAATTTATTACCGGTTTAACACCGGTATAAATTGTTTATCTAAACACTCAAAGGTGCTTATTACCGGTGTCACACCGGAATACGTCAATAAGTTATTTTTATAAGCAATCATAAACACCCCATTTATATGAATTTGATTTTTTACAAATTAACACTCTGTTATTTTTTTAACTGTTTTTGCGACAAAATGTTTAACAACAAAGACGGGGTGTTTAACACCATAAATATGTAATTTGAAGGTTATTGAATTAATAAAATTTCAAAAAATCACGATCTTAATTGAAAAACCATTTAAAGATTATTTAATTATTTTGGATGAATATTGCAAAAAATAAAAATTAACGGGATGAATTTGTAGTTTCCTATAACTAAAATGAGATATTTTTTGTAATAATATGATGATATGAACCTAATTGTGAAGTATAAGGGGGCAAAGTGAAAAATTAAAAGATTTATATATATGCCTGTTTAACCGTCGGGCAGAAACCCTAGCCCAGGAGTCCTTTGCTTCGTCGCCGCATAATCAAGGACCGGAGAGAAGATGAAGGTTTGAATCTTTGCACAAAATCTACGTACCAAATTTATTTTCATGATTAATCGTCGTAACGATTTTCATTTCTCGTTTACATTTTTATAGTTTAATATTGCAAATCCCACCACTGGATGCCAGAAGAAGCTCGAGATTGACGATGATCAGAAACTGTAAGCTTAATTCGGTTCTGGTTTTAGTATTTGTGCTATTAATGTATGGGATTTTTAATCTTATTATGATTATGTTTTAAGTTGGATGAAATTTGGGGTTTATTTGATAATGTAGAATCATTTTTTGTTGTTGAGATAGGAACGCTAAATTTCTGTTGGATGCCTTGATTGAATGACTCGAAATGCTTTTAGTTTTACTATATCTCTGTCGGTTTTTGTGATGAACTAGATTGTTGAATGGATAAAGCTGCAAATTTTATTTGGAATTGGAAAGAACACATTAGAAAATATATGAGGAGAACTACCTGGTATTTCAGTTTGATAAGATGAACTTTGTTTTAGGGTTGGATGCACAATAACTCACCAGTTAAGGGATAATGGTGATCTGCTGAGATTATTCTATAGATTTAATTGCACGTATGCCAATCTTTAAAGATTTTGTTAGGCTCTTAAGTCTCCATGTTCTTTTTGATGAAACTATGTCATTGGAGTATTTATGAAAATGAAATGTAAAAGTTAATGACTCTGATTTGAATCTTCTAGGGAAGTCTCTAGAACTTTAGAATTTAAGTTGTTGCTTATATGGTTTCTTCTTGAAACAAATGCAATGCTGTTTGATGTGCACTCTTAATATTGACAAACAAAAGAATCTTCTGGACAAAATCAATATTGTAGCTCTTTTGAATGATTGCTAATAGGAAAGAGGTCATGTTGGACTAAAATCTAGTCATGAATCATATAGTCTTCTTAAATGACATGTGGAGCTAAGTAGTCCGTGAGTGTATTTGCTGTCGGTCGCTTTGATTAAGCTTGGCTTTCACTTGCTGTTATCCATTGTGTTTTATTTGCTAACATTAGGTTACCTTTGTTAGTTTTTATCTTCATGGGTGGTCTTATCTTTAGTTTTTCATAATCTAATGTTATGTCTTGTTGTTTTTCTTTCTAGCCGTGCATTTTTTGACAAAAGGATTTCACAGGAAGTTAGTGGAGATGCCCTTGGGGAGGTACACTCTTTGCTGTTGTCTTTAATCTCTATATGAAATATCTGGTTGGATTCTTTTATGGTTTATATATTCATATCTTGGTATCTTCTTCTAATGTTTTGTAGGAATTCAAAGGCTATGTTTTTAAAATCATGGGTGGATGTGACAAGCAAGGATTTCCAATGAAACAGGGAGTTTTAACTCCTGGGCGTGTCCGTCTTCTACTGGTGAGAGGTGAGTTTATCAAATCGCTTGGCACAGGCTCACCTTTATTCACTACAGTTATTTTGTAATCATTTATTCAAGTTGCACACTTTAGTTCTTGCCACATTTTGAGTCTGCCTTTTGGTTGTTTATCTTCACTTTGGTAAATTTAATACTTGTTTATATCAATGTCAACAGGAACACCCTGCTTTCGTGGATATGGAAGGAGGAATGGTGAACGGAGGAGAAAGTCTGTACGTGGTTGTATAGTGAGCCAAGACCTTTCTGTGCTGAATTTGGTTATTGTCAAGAAGGGTGACAATGATCTTCCAGGGCTGACTGATGTGGAGAAACCAAGAATGAGAGGTCCAAAGAGGGCCTCCAAAATCCGTAAACTCTTCAACCTTTCAAAAGATGATGATGTTCGGAAGTATGTCAACACATACCGAAGGAAATTTACAAACAAGGCTGGTAAGTTTTTCATTTCTCATCTTAATCAAATTTATTGTTGTGTGTGAATCAACACAATATAAAGTGATCAAATGTTGCTTGCTAAGTTCATAATTAATTAGCCCATTCAACAGTTCCATTTCGTGGGTCCTTGATGTGATTATAGGTTTTATCTACTTGGGAAATTAAATCCCGAACCATGAAATATAGAATTTTTAATCCAATTTATGTTTTTTAAAATACTTGTCTTTATTTATATCTTTGTTGCTTACTCATGTCTTCCTTCTATGTATATTGCTAATGCTTATTCATATCCAGCTTTTCAAATATTAGCTTATTTGTTATTCACTTTCACACACTTCTCACTGGCCTGTGGTCTTCTTGGAAATAGCTGCTCTACTCTTTATGCTGTCTTCTCGAAACCTTTTATTAAATTATTGATTTTTTTACAAAAAACAGGAAAGGAGGTTAGCAAAGCACCAAAGATACAGAGATTGGTTACTCCGTTGACTTTGCAAAGGAAACGAGCTAGAATTGCAGACAAGAAGAAGAGAATTGCGAAAGCGAAATCTGAGGCAGCCGAGTACCAGAAACTTCTTGCTTCCCGATTGAAGGAGCAGAGAGAGAAACGTAGCGAAAGCTTAGCCAAGAAGAGATCCAGGCTTTCTGCTGCCTCTAAGCCTTCTATTGCAGCATAGGTTGGTAATCTTTTCGTTATGAAGCAGTTTTGTCATAATGTTGGCTTTTTATAGACGAAAAAGTTTGCATTTTTGTTGAGATTATGGTATGTTTGGAATTAGGATTACTATTCATCTTAGTTGATGGCTCATTTTGAAATTTGTCATGACTCTTTTGTTAACTCTATTCATGTTTTGTGTTTGCATGTTTTTAAATTATCTAACATTCCATTCCTATCTATTCATTATCTATGTTCTAAATAAATATAAGAAACAAATTAAAAATTAGAAGGCGCTTGAACTTCGGGTGAAGGAGGGATCATACCATTCGAGCCTTTTTTTCATGCTTTTCCCTGGGGCTTTGGTTGCATGCCTGTTGAAGAATGAGCTGGTGACTCATAGCAGTGGCTTGGTTAAGGAACCCACCGGATCCACATCTCAGGGTCAGGCGCCGATGAGCAGATAGCTCGACGCCAAGATGATAAAAAACTCTCTTCCCGGGAGTACCTTAAAAAAAGAACCTTTTCTATTTTTTCAAAGCTTGTCCCTCATTTAAAAAAGAGGTCCTTCCATATATGAAAAAACTCTTTCAGACAAAACCTTTCCATTTTATACAGGAAAATACACCAACATGAACAGCTTAATCTATACAGAACTTAACGGGAAACCGATTAAACAATCCCAAAGTTGATTAAGATGGTATAAGAAAGTGATAAGAAAATTATCTGAATTATCGTTTGGAGTGGATGTATCGTACTGTATGATTTTATTCCAAAAAACAAGTTGGTATCTCTTCATTTACCTGATGTTTGAAATGTAAATTCCCTTGAAAACAATAAATATACTGACCTAAAAGACTTGATTATGACAAGGCAAATATTCGATCTTTGAGGGTTTTCTGTGATGAAACACTAAGAAAATTCAAATTAAAAGAAAACATAAGGTTAGAATAGTCATTTTACAAATTTTAATTTATATATTTAAAACCATAGATTTGAGTATCCACGTACAATACAAATGACGATTATTAAATCAAGCTCATGTAATTTATTATCAAAGCATAACAAATATAGGTCAATTTAAAGCTTAATTAATCGACCGAGCTGCAATTCTCCGCTTTCTTAGGCGCTCGGCGATGATGAAGGCCAGCTCGAGTGCTTGGGATGCATTGAGCCTTGGGTCACAATGGGTGTGGTAGCGAGACCCGAGATCATCAAAGGTCACGGTTCTCGATCCACCGATGCACTCGGTCACGTTTTGCCCCGTCATTTCGAGATGAACCCCGCCTGGGTGACTTCCTTCTTGCTCATGAACATCAAAGAACGCTCTCACTTCCGCCTATCATAATAATTTAACATTAGACTTCACAAAAGTAAATAAAAGAGTGATGGTTGCGGGAACGGATACAATGGGGCAAATCTAGATGGTGGCAGAAACCCTTTTTCCACGTTTGGTATGCAAACTGGAACGAACTGGACAAGACTGAACGGATCATAATGACGTAGGCAGGTAAAAAAAATTGTGGAAAATTTTAGAATTTTAGATTGTCATGGAAAGTTTGGTAATTTAATTTCTTGTCCATCTCCATGATTTTTGTGCCCACTCAGTCTTGTCATGTCCTAGTCTTATATGGTGTCAAACGTGTGACAACAAGTTTTTATTATGTATGTCCTGCGTAAGAACATGTTTTTCCACAACAAAATGTCATGAAGGGTAGTTCCAAAACATATCGTCCCAGAAACGACTAATACTTGAAACTCGTATAATTATAAGTTCAATCCAAAATAAACAACTCCCGGACCCTTGACCTTGGACCCTCTCCGATAATCACACATGATCGACCATGATCTAATGAACAACTCACTGTTGTACGAATAGGATGCCCTACTAATGATCATGAACAATACACGTGACAAAGTGCCCCGACACCTTAAGTTTTTTGAGTGGCACTGTTTGCTTGACTGTTAACTTTAAGGCCTCATGGAATTAGTTGAGGTACAGCTGGACACCCATACATTACAACAAAATCGACTTTATAGGACGCCAAATATATCCAAATGTCATAATAAATTGTTTTATAGAACTTAAGTTTATAAGAGCAAACAATTGTGCGTCCTGTATAAAGGTGTTACAATGTTAAGACCTATTTAGGCATACTAACAATTTTTAGGACATTTATAAAATAAAATGTCCCATTAGTATTTTTATATGAAACTTTTGGGAAGTGTCCTATAAACACAATTTTATAGGACACTTGTTTTTACAAGACATTTTTTTCAAAAAATGTCATAAAATACTAATATGATGTTTTACAAATTGTCGTAAAGAACTTATTGAGATGTTAAAAAACGTCCTATCAACTTATTATCACACATTTATATAAGATGCACTATTGTTTGGTCCTATAAACTTAAGTGTTATCTTTTTTGGATCACCATAGGTTCCGGGCCAGTTACCCGCTTCGACTAATCCCTTGGCAATCACAAATGGCCTGGAGTCGTCACAGGTGAACCTCCATGACCACAAGAGTTTTGGCGGTGCCTGGATTTGAACCCGATGTAAATGAGATTTTTCACTGCATTCGCCTGAGGCTTAACGTTGCACCACAACACAAGTGGTTATTTGGTTCCTAAGGTCCAAAAGCACAAGTAAAACACACATTCTTTTGGTTCATATTGATTCTTTAGTCTTTTTCACAAGGACAACTACTTGCACCAATAATTGATGCAATTTCTGTCCACAAAGATGTATGAAGGTTCAAATTTTTTGTATGGTTTTGATTTCTAAGTAATCATGCAAGTAAAGAAGCTAAAAACTGAGAAATGAGATGAGCGAGTTACCCGAATAGCATCAAAGGGTCGAGTTTTTAAACCATTTGGAGCCTTAATGGTGTTGCCGTGCATAGGATCGGTGACCCAAGTGACAATTTGACCGGCTCTTCGAACCGCTCTAATAAGATGAGGAAGCTTCACTCTCATGTTCTCTGCTCCCATTCTTGTTATGATCGTAACCCTTCCGGATTTGTTATCGGGATTCAAGATGTCGATGAGTTTGACCAACTCGTTTGGGTCCATTTTGTCGCTCACCTTTTGAGACAAATGAGAATTTTGTTAGTAGCCTGCGAACTTTAACTTGGTCAAAATGCAACAAAGTTCGGTTTAGTTCCTATTCCTGACCTACGCTTATCTTATTAACGTGAATACCCCGTTTATGAAAAGGTTTACAAAAGGGGTATGGCAAAGGGGATGATAAACTTAGCATCCACGTCATCAAATGTTACAAGATCATCAGGTTAACGGTCCAACCGGGTAAAAAATAAGAAATTTTGGAAGTTTATTACAATGATTGTAAGAAAAAATTATTTCTTACATTAAATAGGAGCAAGACAAATTTCGTTGCATTTTTGATAAATTTTGCCCTTTTAACTGTATTAGGAAAAATGAGTTAAACGATGAAAGATACCTTAATTCCAAGAGGGTTTGCGATTCCTCTGAGGAATTCCACATGGGCACCATCCAATTGTCGTGTTCGCTCACCCACCCAAAGGAAATGAGCCGAACAATCATAGTATAAGCCGGAAGTTGAATCTTTTCGAGTAAGAGATTGCTCATAAGGCAAGTGCAAGCACTCGTGGGATGTCCAGAAATCGGTGATGGTCATAATGGGATGATCAACTGTAAGACCAGCGGCTGACATGAAGCCTAGAGCCTCGTCAACTTGGCTGGCTAGCTCACGATACCTAACATGCCATGACAAAAACATCATTCATCATATTTGAATAACAAATGTTATACAAAATTTTCTACCATATATGTATATACAAGTTTGGTGGACCGTGTCTGGCTTGTTATAAATCCGATTTTGTTATAGTGACACCCCCACATGCTTGATTGAATGTGTTGGCCATGTTTGTTATAAATCCGATTTTGTTATAGTGACACCCCCACATGCTTGATTGAATGTGTTGGCCATGTTAGAATGGTAGAATCCCTTTGATTCTACGCATATAGAGGTTAAATATATCATGTCTAGCCGATATGGAACTTCAACATCCTAAATTTTGAATCATAATGGCAAGTGGTATTTAAAAAAAGATAGCACAAGAAACCGTTGAGTAAATCAACATACCGATCACCCTGCTCACTGTCCTCCGTGAAATCAAGATTCCATTGGGTCACTCTTTGCATAGCTGCGTACCCTCCAGTGGCAAATGCCCTCAAAAGGTTAAGAGTGGCTGCCGATTGGCAGTATGCTCTAATCAATCTTTGAGGGTCCGGTGTCCTTGATTTCAGATCGAATGCATCACCATTCACATTATCCCCTCGGTAACTTGGTAGCTTCACACCATCTTTCTCTTCGAAAGAGTCCGATCGAGGCTTAGCAAATTGACCAGCCATTCTTCCTACCTGTTTTAATCAGATACCCAGAATCCAAAATCAATTCAGATTCAAAACTTAAACACAAATCAAGTTCAATCATAAACAAATGCCCAATTTTGTGTAGTTTATACACCAATAAATGCTGCTCACTTTTGACTTCTTGAACACATGAAAGTTCTGTCACTCTATAGATTACTGTTTGGTTGGTTTTCCATTAATGTATGGATAAAGTTGTATGTGTGGATTAATCTGTTTGTATAGATTGAGAATGTTTTTGTTTGGAAAGGTTTTTTCATAGATAGAAGGAACGTGTTTTTTTTGTTGGGAGGAGGGCAGGTTTGAAAAAACTTGGTTTTCTGCATAAAGCTCCCTTTTATAATCTTATGAATAAGTCACTTTCAATATCATTAAGCCACTATCAAATAGTCATGTATAGCCTGATCGAATAAGCTGTGAGTTTCACTAAGCTCGTTAAGCTGCTAACCAACAGGTAAGTTTGAAATTAAAGAAACTCAAACTAGCTGCAAATATATTGGTATGCAATTCAGGATTAGAGTTTGTTTGTTTGCATGGGACTTGCAGCTTATTCAGTAAGCTATACTTGACACTTTAGCAATGGCTTATTCAGTAGGCTTTTAAGGAAGCTTTATGCATAAAGTCAAGTTTTCTCCAAACAAACAAGAGCTCTCGATATAAAAACAAATTAATCGACACATACAACTTTATCCGTGAAAAACCAACCAAACAGCCTTTTCGATGATTTGTTCCTGTCTTTCGATCTCTTCCATTGGTCCCGATTGTAATCCATCAGTTTCATATGTTATCATCAACTCAAATTGAAAATTCCCTTTATAAATTGAAGGATTTGAAATCATAAGGGATTTAAGAATTGGGTAAACTTTAAATCATACAAAAATGGTGAGAAAGATTGAAGATATACATGACCTTGATAACCGGCATTTGACCTCCGAACATCAACACGACACCCATTTGAAGAATCACTCTGAAAGTATCACGAATGTTATTCGCATTGAACTCCTTGAAACTCTCGGCACAATCGCCACCCTGCAACAGAAACGCATTCCCCATTGCGGCCTCACCGAGTCGTTCCTCAAGGCGGCGTGCTTCTCCGGCGAATACGATTGGTGGGAAGGCTTCTAGAGTTTGGAGCACTGATTCCAGGTCGTTTTGATCTGGGTATTCCGGTAGTTGAAGAGCCTTTTTGGATTTCCAGCTGTCTATGGTCCATTTTGGGGTTGATGTTGTTGAGAGTTTGGGGGTGGAGGTGGAGACGGTGGCTGCTGTGGCAGGTGAGGATGGTTTTGAAGAAGATGACGATGATTTGTTGGATGGGTCAGGGGAATGGACGGCGGAGATGGTGGTCGGAAAAGATATGAGTGGTGGTGGAAGAGCTTGGATTTGGAAGGATTTAGTGGGGAGGAGTGAGTTGGTGTTGCAAAGAGCCATTTTGGGTGGTGGAAGCCGGATGCGTGGGGGGTACCAGAACAAGTTGGGGTTGGGGGGTTGGGTTATTAGGAGGAGAGCAAATTTAGGCACCAAAAAGGAAGTTGGTTTTTTCTGTTATAAAAGGGAGTGTTTTTGGGTTGGTACAAGGGGTATTTTGGTCAATTACTATATAATATGTTTTCTACCAAGAAAATTTATTTATGTTTAAGGGGTTGTTTGTATATCTCTTAATAGTTCCATAAAAACGCAGACTCTAAATCATTAAGAGGTGAATTTTGTTTGGCGAAAAAAAATATGTCTCTTAATGGTTCTAAAATCCTCTGAATGTTTTTGTATCCTGGGTCTATCTTAACTATTAAGCATCCTAATTTCATTACAAACAATTACCAAACAATTAAATTTCATTTTTCACTATATCATGAGAGCCTCTTAATCATTATAACCACTTAATCATTCTGCACCAAATCATTCAATAACTGTCAAACAACTCCTAAGTTGATGTATGTTCGGGATGAAAAATGAATGTTTAATAAATATACTGAATGAACAGTTTGAATTAAAAAACATAGTTTGATCACTTGTCTAAAATAAGTTGTAAATGAAAAACGAGTATGTCCATGGAACTGAATAGTTAGGTTCAAATGAGACAAGTTGTGTGCAATGAACAAACGATTGCAAATTCGAGTTGGTATCACAAAAAAGGGGCCGTTTACTAAACAGTTACTTGGTAAGTGCTTACCAGATAAATTTCTTTATCGGATGAATATGAGAAGGGCCAAGAATCTTACCGGGTAAGAGCAATGAAAAGGATAGAGAGTCTTACCCGGTAAGTAAGGATGACGACTCTTACGCAAGTAAACACTTACCCAGTAACTTGTTGCATTCAATATGTTTTGATGTGTTAAAATCTTACGTATCAAAATAAATTATAATGTTGAATCATATCGGTAAGCACTTACCTGGTAAGCATTTAGTTAAACGACCCCTAAGTTTTATATGTGTTCAATTTCTTATAAACTATTTTGGAAAGATTTCTTGTGTTAATGCTATTTGTTATGTTACTAAGAGGTTGTTCGGTTGTTTTTTCATTAAATCCTGTATGGATTAAGTTGTTTGTATATATTAGACAAAAACTGTTTTTCAGTTGTTGTGTTAAATGAACAATCTAAATGACTATTTTACCCCTTACTGTTCGTTATTGATCAACAAAAAATAACAATGAATCCATAAAATTAATTAACGAACAATCATAATAAATCCTTTAATTACTACTAAATTGTCATAATATGCGATTGAAGTATTACAAAAAACGCCAAGACAACCAAAAAACTATTTACAGTTCTCCCACCTATTTCACCAAACACCTTATGTATATTACCCGATCCCTGTTGTGGACGAGCTAATTGATGAATTAACGGGCACTCATTTTTCTTCTTGCAATTAGAGCTAAAATATTGTTATAATCAGATTCGAATGCAGCTGGAAAGCGTGGAAAAGAAAGCTTTTCACATACGTGATAGACATTACAAGTACCTCGTAATGCCATTTGGGCTCACTAACGTTCGCGCTACGTTTCAAGCCATCATGAATGACATATTTCATCCATACTTACGCAAGTTCGTTGTGGTATTTTTCAATAATGTTTTGATTTACAGTCCAACGTGGGAGAAACATCTCTGTGATCTGTCTGCAGCAATAAAAATTCTATTGGCTCATCAGTTCATTGTAAATCAGGAAAAAAAAATGTTCGATTGACTAAGAAAGAAGTTTCAATGGATCTTAAAAAGGTTCAAGTTGTGATCGATTGACCAACCCCAAACCAGGTTAAAGGAGTACGTGGGTTTCTTGGCCTTTAGGGGTTATTACCGTAAGTTTGTTCGGAATAACAGGTGTATAGTAAACCACTGATCGAGTTGACAAAGAAGGATACGTTTATTTGGAATGAATCGACACAACAGTCCTTGGATCTTTTGAAGGCTGCCATTACTACTTCTAGGTCGGTGTTTGCTCTATCAAATTTCTCGATTCCTTTTGTAGTTGAATGTGAAGCTCTCATGAAGACATAATTAGATAAGAAAAGGCGTGACGGTTTTAAAATATGTTAAAGTTATTTGTTTTATAATAATCAATCAATAAAAATGTAATTTAATTATTTTTATAATTGTTTATAATTTATTTTTACAAGTTTGTATAAAAAAATAAAATTCAATTCAATTCCAAATCTTAGAAACCGAATACGTTAAAGATTCCAAATCCAAATCATTCCACGAAATCTAAATCACTCGAAACCATTCCATCAAACCAAACGCTTTCTTAGATCCCAAAATCACAGCAATGATTCAGGAAATTTTTAGAATTTGGGAGCAATGGACAATTTCAAATCGACAGATAAAAAGGTAGATTTCGAGGATATTTCAAGCTACTCGGAGGAAGGAGGAGCATATCAATGGAGGATGAGGAGTAGGAGTAGGAGTGAGGGTGACTAAGGTGTAAATAATGTGAGTCAAGCTTAAATATCGATGTACTGTACTTGACTAGAACTCAATAGTTATTTCCCAAACTCGATGTCTTCATGCATAATATGGATTCCAAACATTCATGATTTGGATGTGAATGAGTCGAAACTCGACTAGAAAACTCACGAGTAGTTTAAAGACTAATTTCGACTCGAAAACTCAAGAGTAGTCAAAACTAAACTCAAAATTAATTTCAATTTTCTTTTAACTCGAACTCATTTGGAGCTCAAAATATATCTCAAACTCGAACTCGAATCATGCTCGGACCAAGCTCACTCGTTGAAATTTATGAAATTTTAGGGTTTTCTTTTATAGATTATAAAACTTTCAAAGTGTTCTCTTAAACTTTACACAATGATAAGTGTGCAAAAACATACACTTTAGCATCCAATTATTTCACTTCATTTTACACATTTCTCAATAATATATCGAGTTTTTAGTCTTATTTTATGGTTTTACATTTAGTGGAGCTAGGTTGCAGAAATGGTGTTGTTCTATGTATGTGGTGAATGGAATGCTGACATAAGCATTGCTGTAGCAGGTGTATATGTTGCTGCAGTACTGGATACTGGATATTGGTACAGTTGGCTCCACCCTGTTGAATAATTTGAAAAGTCAAGTTTTGGAGGTAGACATTTTTCTAGTACTGATAACAGACGATTTTGATAGAAGATATCACTTCAAAGATACCTTAAACTTTTGTACTAGGGCATCTTTTGTGTTACACTTTGGTTATTAACTAATGGTTATTATCTTTTATTACTTTTGATTCCCCTTGGCTAGTATATTTATATATGGGTAACCTTTTGTTTACTAGTAACAGTTGTAACACTTTGAACAATATCACTTTGTCATTAGGAACAAAGCTTCATCTAAGCTTTGGGTTCTTGTTACTTTTTGATATCATTTTGCAAGTATTTTTAGTGTTATTCATTACTGACAGTTGGTACAACAACCTTTCCAGCTTTTTCTTTATTTTTTGTGCAGAATTTACTTTTACGTCATTTACATTCATCATTTCTATTTATGTATTTATTTTTAAGCACTTACATTCAGTAATGTTAGGCTAAATACCTTAGTATGAGTGTAAGTGAAAGTTGTGAGATTAAGCCAAGTGTTAGTTGTTGATTGCTTTGCTAATAACAATTTATTTCACTATTCACCAAGTGGTATATTTCATCTGGTAATTTTTGATAAATTGACAGATGTTATATTATTCAAATGAGTTGGACTTAAAATTAAGACAACACAAATATATTTACTAAGGAGTTATTTGTTTACCTTTTAAAAGTTTCATTAAGAGGCAACATCTGAATCGTTATGAGGTGAATCTTGTTTAGAGAGTATGTCTCTTAATGGTTCTAAAACCCTCTGAATGATTTTGTATCTGGGTCTCCCTTAACCATTCAACGCTCTAATTTCATTGTAAACAATTATCATACAATTATATTTCATTTTGCATTATATCATGAGAGTCTCGTAATTATTCTAACCACTTAATCATTCTGCAACAAACCATTCAGTAACTGTCAAACAATCCCTAAGTGTGTTATATAGGCTATAAAGAATCACTGTAATCTTATGGGTTGCAAAACCATATGGAAAGAAAGACAATATCTATACTAGTTTGAGATTGATGCATCACCAAGTGCACTTCCAACATATGGTCTAATCTGCACTTTCTTGAAAGGGCGTTGAATCCAATAGTGTTGTAAAGAGCTATTTATATAGCAACATTCACTACATTTCTTTGCCAAAATCCAACCTGATCTTGTATCCATACTATCTTTTAATTATTGTTACATTTCAATATTTAGTTACCAACTCTAGCAAATATATTTTCTTTTGAAACTTGCTTCCCAAAAAAAACTTTTTTTTCTCTTGAAATTTCACTTTAAAGTTAACTTTTGTGACTCTCTTTGCATTTTAAATTTATGTAGAACGATATTTGGTATTACTTACCATTATTACTTACTTTTTGCGATACTTGTAAGTCATGTATACTTGCATGATTTACTTGTTAATATAGCCTTTTGATGGTATAGATCCACACACACCATACAACTTAAGGGATGCACATCAAATTTCATCATTAAAAGACAAAGCTACAAACTTCATTCACCTCTCTCTCTTTTTATAACACATCTTCGCCGTTCTTTTTGCATCTCTTTTTCAATATGAGACAACTAATAACACTTTTGTAGCCTCTTGACCTTTTTAAATTATGATTTTAATAGAATAATAATTGATTAATTTTTATAGTAAAAAATGTCCAATTTTATTCAAATAACTAAAAAATATACCACATTTTCTTTTTATCGGTAGGTTTATCAATAAATTATTACATTATATTATAAGATTAATTCATATATAAAAAAATCGAGTATTTCACGAGATCTTCAATAGTAGAAAACAGAATCTTCACAGACAGAAAAATCAGCCAAAAAAAGCCATCATTGGTCGATCTCATTGCCGAAGAAAGTGTGGTTGCCGGTGGTAGTGATTATCGGCGGATTTTCATTCACCAACGGAAAAATCCGTCGTTGATGGTCAATTCATCGATGATCCG